GTTACAATTTTAGTACTAGTTTTGGTGTAATTTTCAAGATCACTTTCTGCCTCCTCCTAGTACACTTACAGCCAGCATTTTTTACATCATGTGCTGCACTCTATACTGAAACAATGTTAAGAAATTATTTATAAAATTGTGTGTTTGACTAAATATTTCAGTCTGCATGATTCAATAAATTCTATCACAACAAAGTAAAATGCTGGGTAAACTAAGTTGATACTGTTATGGTATCTAAGCTACTTTCTGGGATTTTCATGTACTACAGATAATTTAATTTACTCATAAGCATTTTGATTTAATGCAATGGAAATATCTTGCATTATTTTTACTGAAAAACAACAAGTAAAACTATTTTCTCTCAGATATAGTGCAAAGTCCCTTATTTATCCTTTCATGAAAATACTCATTTTACCATGCCCTGGGGTATCAGGAGTTTTTAATCCATTTTATTATTTTATTTTTGATTACAGAAAATTTTCTCCTGAGTGCCCTGGATTTAGTGATTATTATTTTTTGAGTGGCTGTGCCTGGGTGCCCTGTAAAACTATGATATGTCTTTGGGCATATCATATTTGAGTTTAGGGCATGGCACAATAGATTAAAGTCTAATACCTGCAAAATATTTCAATGTTGAAATTTAAACATTCACAAATATTAATGAAACTAACTTACAGACCAATATCCACAGTTAAATTCAAATCACATTCAGTATTTCCATTCATATTTTGATCAGTAGTTATGTTCTTTGTGTAATTGTTCGATTTGTTTTATACAATACTCATGAAAGACTTCGTGTAATGTTCTTCTGTGCATGTGATACCATTTACATCTATTTATTTAGACATGTATGTTGCTATATACATTTATTTCCATTACACATTGTCAGAAACACTAATAACTTTCAATAGATTTCCTCCGGCTGTTGCTCAGATCAATTTGTAACTGTCTCGTGTTACTTTCCTGAGCTATTATTTGGTAGTTCGTCTGCTAAAGTGCTTCTGCCTATGAATCATAACATGCTACTGTTTCTTTTAAGGCATCATTAAGTGAATAATCACTAACAGAATTCGACTAAACTAAGACTTTTCAGCTAAAAATTCATAAGTCTGGATTAATATTTGTGCTGTTACTGTAATATATATATATATCAACACACACACTCCGAAGAAACACAGATCTCACACTGCTGTGGAGATGTTATATGTCTTTCAGGTGTATTGGGAAAATCTAGGAAGGATTATACAGTATTTCCTATAGATCTCTTGCTTTTCTGCTAGGTCAAGTGAATGACTCTCGCAAAACTTAGTTCTGCCTCAAAAAAATCCATTGGTAGCTTGGAAGACAAGGGACATAAAGTCCTTTCAACTGACTTCCCGAAATCTTAACTATTAATTTGTTCAAACTGTACATGCACTAGAAATTGCATGTACCAGCTCTAGCCATCCTAAACTGTATTAATTGAGCAGATATCATTTGATATTCTGTGGATATTTCTTATAGTAAAACTCTGCTCAATATCTGAGCAAGTAAGGGTCACAAAGCCCTTTTGGTCCAGTTAATTATAAGATAAGTAAACTATCCTATTGATACTTCCTTTCAATCATTGATTTCTTGATCAAGTTAATGTATTAGCTATGTAAGATATGGTTTAGTTCCAGACTTGTTGATTTGGAAGTTGGTAGAGGAATACCATAGACCGTCAGATCCGAGTCTTCTTCTTTTTTTTTTCTAGATCTGGCAATTCCTCATTTGACTTATCTTGAACAACCATATAGTAGTACTATTAACTCTTTCCTCCCCATATTCAGTGTCAAAGAGGAATAAACAGTGACTTGATGTATCCTTTGCTGTTCCTTTAAATGTTGGCTGTGTGATCTGTTTCACCCTGCTGATGGGTAACCATGATCTTGGCCATTATGCTCTTTCATGACTGCTCAGGCATCACCTTACTGAGATTTTCTCAGCATCATGATAACAGAATTGTGGTAGGTCCATACTCTAGGATGTCAGAATGACAAAGTGTGCTTGGCAGATCATTCATTGGGTCTGCTTGAATCCAGACTTCTTCATGTTACATGATTATCTTAGCAGTACATCTTCCTGCTCAAAGAGGCCTATCACTGCCCTGTGATTCACTTACTTTGCCATTTGGTGTCTACTGTCTCACCTGCTTGTGAGATAGCTTAGGTTGGCAGAAATCATCCTCCATTAACACTTCCAATTTCTCTCTCACGTTCTTTGGTGCCTTCAAATGGAGCTGAGATTTGGAATAATATGGCTTGTGTAATTCTGGTAGTCCTATACAGATTGCTCCAGCCAATTCCAGAATCAGTGGACATCACACCACTGCAATGATCCTCATTCATCCGTACTTACTTCCACTGAGGGTAATCCTCAGCGAAAGAGCATGGACAGCCATTCTGAGTGCACCAGGTATTGGCAACCTCTGAGTCATTAGTTAGAGCAAGATAATTGTCATGGACATTTGCAGCATTAGCAAAAGCCAGCTCTCTCTCTCTCTGATAACTTGGTGGAGAGATAGTTCAAAGTTCTTCTAGTTGTGCAAAATGCTATTTCATGGAACTTTATTCACACTAGAGTAGGAACAAAGGGTAGTACGCACTTCAGCAGAAATAGCAAATTCTGCAATATGATATTGTATGGTCACTGCACCAAAATTTGCTTTTTTGTTTCCATTCTGAGTTAGCCTTTTAACAATTAGATGAGACTGCTTTAACAAGTGATCCATTCAAGATACCAACTACTAAGTAATGCTATGTCTCTTAATAACTGAATCATAATATTGAATGGAATAACAAAACTAAACACACAGCAAAGCATGAAACAAATAATCTTTATTACAACAGAAGTATCTGCTTTTAATGGATTGATGGACTGACACCTTTACTGGACTCTCTCATTTAAACTCCTTGCTCTTCAAGATTGTGTCTTACAGCAAGGCAGAATTAAGGGGAAGGTTGGAGCCCCCTGACTAAGAGAAAAATATAAACTTGATGTCTCATTGAAAGACATGTTTGTAAATGTGTCACTATTGAAACAGCATATCTAATTGTTTCACAAACCTATTATTTTGTAACTTTTTATTAACAAGTTCTTAATACCTGTTTTTTTTTTCATAAATATTTGCTTAGCCATTTAACAAAAATTTTCCTTATCATTACTTTATATTTACTATAAATTTTAAAGTTAGTATTTTGTATATTATCTACCCATCACTTGTGTTTGTGTATTGTTAAAACTGTAGCTAAAAAATAATATTGAATTGTATTTGACTTATTTATAAAGTTAAGTTCTGAGGGATCTCCCTAATTCCTGGCCTGGCATGGCCAGGTGGTTAGGGCGCTCAACTCGCAATCGGAGGGTCGCGGGTTCGAATCCCCATCGCACCAAACATGCTTGCCCTTTCAGCCATGGTGGTGTTATAATGTGATGGTCAATCCCACTATTCAATGGTAAAAGAGTAGCCCAAGAGTTGGCAGTGGGTGGTGATGACTAGCTGCCTTTCCTCTAGTCTTACACTGCTAAATTAGGGATAGCTAGCAGAGATAGCCCTCGTGTAGCTTTGTGCGAAATTCAAACAAAAAAAACAAACAAACAAACCCTAATTCCTAAATGTGGCTTTTTACCAGATTGTTTAGACTGACTAAGTCACTGTTTATTTTAGATTGCAAGAAATGCCATATTTACCCAGAGCAACTAATGCTAACCCACATGACTGGTCATTCTCATTCTAGCATAAGTCAACATTCTTGCACGATGTGTAGTATAGCAGCAATATCCCCCTACACCCCAGGGGTGGGTAAACAGGTATTATCTACTAGAGAACAACAGAGGCAGCTAGAATGAAATTAGCTTCATGGCTTTCTTATTCATATGTTATGTGAAACATGTACAGAATAAATACTATAACGTTACAAAAAGATAGAAATGATAATATATTCATACACCACATTGGAAAGAAAAAAAATCTTTTCTTTTGTATCCTACTCCTACCATGGGTTCTTTCATGGTTAAAATTGTTTAGCAACAATTAATTCATATGTTTGAATATTCATTGTCACGATAGGTTAGATTTAAATTTTTCCAGGTCTTTCCTTATGTTACATATGTTTCACCTCCTTGACCCAATAAAATCATATGATAAAAGTTAAGACTTAACTGTTTCTGAGAATTTTGGTAGACTATGCAATAAGAAATTATTGACTGATGGATTATATTGAAACAACAATGAATTAAAATCCTAACTTGTTTTATGATCTGATGAAATCTAACTTTGTGGATAACTCTTCAGCTAGTTATCTGCTGCCCTTTTTAGCTGAAATACATAGAAGACTGTTTGATTTGTGTTTCAAAGAATATGTTGAAAAAGAAAGTGCAATATTTTGATTTACCTGCTTCTTTCAGTGAACTTTATTTCATAAGAAACCATCTCCCAGTACCAGAAGTCAATCCAGAGGAATATGAGTTGGAGATTTCAGGAATTGGCATCAAAAAGGAAGTGGTACTTACCTTGGAGGAATTGAAAACTAAATTTCCGAAACATACCATCACTACCACCATTCAGTGTGCTGGTAATAGACGTTCGGAAATTAACAAGGTGAGTGGCAAAGTTGGTGGATGCCAATAAAAACCCCCACATGATAAACTTGTCAGTCAGCATTTTTTTTTCCTGGAGTGCAGAAACTATTGCCCATCTGCGTTAGTAGGATTTGTTGTAAGTTTACTTCTACAACAGTATTTCATGGCAAGATTTTGTATCCTCAATATATCATTTAATGTGTTTTCAGGAAACACAATGCACAACGCATGATTCCTTAATCATATAAATTGTTGTAGTGTGTCATCAAGCTGGTTGATATTTTCAATGATCTTTTCAGTAGTTTCTCCTAAAGTTTTTTGAAACCCAGAATGCTCTTTTAGACCCAGAGTCATACCAATCATTGATGGTGCCCTGTGCGAGATATAAATTCTGTGCCCCTACTCATAAAAATCTAATCTGTTCTTGCCCTCAGATATGCAAACTTGCACTCCCTACTGATCTGTGTAGGTGCACTGCTTGCTATGGTCCTGTTTAGACCCAGTAGAGAACATTTACTAAAACATTGTTTACTGGAGTCTACTATAAGTATTAGTATATGCAAAAACTATAAATATCTAGGTAAAAGTAATAATGCATAGAAAATTTTTCCACAAATGCACATGTACTGTATAAAGCATTTTGTATATTTCTTTGAAAATAATACTCTCAGATTACAATGTACAACTGTAATACCTAGTTTCTGTATCACACTATCATGTCATAATGTTGAAGCAGTTCTTTCTCATTTTGTTCTGGTTACATTTCTGTCTTTGTGATTGTAGATTAAAAAAGTGAAGGGCCTAGACTGGGGTTCAGCTGCCATCAGCACTGCACAGTGGAGTGGAGCACGCCTGTTAGATGTTTTGAAGCATGCTGGTGCCGATGTTGAACATAAAGACATCAAACATATAGAGTTTGAAGGTTTAGACACTGATCCAGCTCATCAGCCATATGGAGCATCTGTTCCTGCTGAAAAGGTATTTCACTTTATACAAATTTCAACATGACTTTCAAACACCAAGCTGAGCTTGTCACTGTTAATGAAAACTGTATGTGTCTTGAACCAATTTCACTAAAGTTTACAAATATTATGCACAGTTTTCTTTACTGAGATTCACATTCTTTGTCATAGACTTTTATTTGTTTTCAGTTTCTGTATTCAGTCAGCAGCTTACACCCATTCTTAACAGTGTTGGATCAGTTAAACTTAAATCTTCATTTGCCACATATTCTATTATATTTCTGTAATTTCTTCCTGCCTGTATTGCACCGTGTGATGATATAGTTAATGGATATAAATATTAGTCTCTTGTAGAGACTTTAGAAGACTGTAGATATATTCTATTATGGGAGCAAGTAAAAATATAAACTTTGTATATGAAACTATTAGTAGTAAGAACTGCCATCAGTGGGATTAAGGGGGAATAAGGGAAGCAGTTGCCCTCTACATTGTGTTTCTATGGAATATAGTATACACACAACATTCACAGTAATTAATTCAGACTTTTCCTTTTTTGCTCCCCTTCCCCTACATTTTGGTCACAAATGCTGCTCATGGAAACTGCATACACAAATACAATGACCAAGTCTAGCTTTTGAGTATGTGATATTTCCCTGCATATTTGTTTAATGCTTAAGCAAATCCACTAGTTTACTTGCATTGCAAAGACAGTTGCAATACTTAATTAAAACAAAAGTCAAAGTAGGTAAAAAAAAAAAACAATTGACATTCTGTGGATTTGAGTATATGAGGAAAAAAAAAGATTTTTAATAAAATAATATTTTTTCAACACTTTAGGCACTTGATCCAAATGCTGATGTATTGTTGGCATATGAAATGAATGGAGAAGAAATACCCAGAGATCATGGATATCCTGTGCGAGCAATTGTGCCTGGTGTGGTCGGTGCTAGAAATGTTAAGTGGGTTGGAAGGGTGGTGTTGACTGATGAAGAAAGTCACAGCCATTGGCAACGGAGAGATTACAAAGGTGGGTTGTAGAATTCCACTTTTAGTGTGCTAGTACCTTCTTCACCAGTTTCTCTTGAAATAAAAAATACTTTTTTCTCTTTTCTCTCTCACTTTCGTAATTCACAGTATCTTTCTGGGAGTAATATTGTTACCAGTAACCCTAAATTAAATCAGAGAAGTAAATGACTTTTTATTTTAGCCATTGCTGCTTATTAGTCTCAATTGTTTTTAATTTCTGCTTTTTCCTTTTGTGTAGTTTACTGCACTATATAATATAGAAAAATTGAAGTAGTGCTGTTTGACCTGTGAACTCTGTTTTTTGTTATTGTTTTTTCAGAATTTTTGCACAAAGCTACAAAAGGGATATCTATGTATAGTCTGAGTAACTAAAATCTGTATTTCGAAGAGAATTTAATTGCTTTAATTACTCTAGTAAATACATTGTGGTGATCTTCATACAGATGATTTTTGTTTTATCTTGAGTTTAATCGCACTGTTTTCAGTATGTTGTAGTTGTTTCTTGAACTGGGGTTTTTCTTTTCCCTGCAATGCACTAAACAACTTTTAGTGCATAATTTCAGTTGAAGGTTTATTTTAACAAAGTGTATTTGAATTACCTTAAGATACTTCTTATTAGTATTTTCAACTAAACAGATCTATATTTTGATGAACTTGGAAAATATGATTTTTAGATATGTCCCCTTTTGTATGGTCTGGGTTCATTGCATCATGTACATTTAATTAATTCGTTTGTGGGAGTTATAGAGCAATAGTGCAGTAATTAGGAGCTGTTGTAACATTGAGCTAGGATCAGGTTATGCAGTGTAGTAAAATTTAGAATGTGAGGCAAGTAGTAAGCTTATGGGGAGTGTAATGAAACTACATGTAAGGCATAAAAAGAAAAAAGTTAAATCCTGTTTCTATGTGAATATTGATTTTCAGAGGAGTTATTGTAACAGATGTCCTGATCTAATTAGCTGTAGACGATGGAAAACAACTTTTTTCATGGAGCATCTGATATTCTGAAAGTTGCATTATTTCCAGTCTGTTTCCTATGGAATACCATGTAGTGAAAACAATGTTGGGAATTTATGTGGTTAGGATGATGCCAAAATTACTGAATGGACTTGTTGTCTGTCAACAAAACAATTGATAACTAAGATTTTTAAAGTAATACTATTGTATTTGTGTTTATATAATCATATTTTAGACCATAATTAATATTGGTGTCAGAGGTTTGTTATGCTTTGACATATAAAGAGGTACAGATACAAAGGTAACAGTAAATGAAGTTGTTTTCAGTAATAATTTTGGAATTGAAGAACAATTCTATCAAACTAAATATCAGTCATTTATTGCCTGTATTCTTGTGAATTATAGTTGCAATTCTGCTGATATTTTATTGACATGCTAAATAAATTGCTTAAAATTATGTGGGTATTAATTATAGGAATGAGGTTCATGTTGAAATGGTTTAATATAGAACGTTAAACAAAAATAAATGTTAAATAAACACGTTTCAATTTTCATTTATTCCAAAGATGCTATCTCATAGTTTTGTAATGGCTTGAGGTGAAGTTCTAATTAGGCTATATTTCTTCAGTTTTGGTATTTGATCTTATTCCAGTTTGGGAAGTTTTGATTATGCTAGTTTTGTAATGGCTTGAGGTGAAGTTCTAATTAGGCTGTATTTCTTCAGTTTTGGTATTTGATCTTATTCCAGTTTGGGAAGTTTTGATTATGCTAGTTTTGTAATGGCTTGAGGTGAAGTTCTAATTAGGCTGTATTTCTTCAGTTTTGGTATTTGATCTTATTCCAGTTTGGGAAGTTTTGATTATGCTTATTTTATTTTTGGATTAACAAGCTCAGAGTCTAATGTTTCAATTAACTGTATTGCTAGTAATGTAGGATAAAAAAAAAGGGGGGC